AGTTCAATAATTACATTCTTTTCATAGAATTGGGTGACAAACGAGCACACGGTCTACTGATGGTAAGTGGTTGCTGTGGCCCATAGACATCTACATCTATCCTCAAAAATTAATCAAAATGCAGATGCGTGGTCACCTGTGAGTACTAAGATGGAATGCCCCTTTTCCAGTAAAAAGGGTCTCCGGTTCTCTACACTCACCATACGAAACACAGCAGTGTTAAGTTGCTATTTTACGCTGGTATTATGTGTGATCGTGGTCCTTACCTAGTCGAGCCGACCCATACTTGCTATAACTACAGCTATACTACTAATATAGCTGTAACATGGCTTTAGCACTTTATAATTACATTCTTTCACATTAATTTATCATTTTGTTCGTCGTTAGAGCTGGTTACAGGATTGCAGTAGCGACAGAACATCAGGACTGTAAACCTGTTTTCAATATAATTTTATAAATTTAAATCTGTAGAATATCCGTGCTAAAAATACACACAATTACATATGAATTTATATTTTATAAATGGAGTGACATGTTGGTAAGAGAAAAGGAATTAGTTGGATGCAGGTGGCTCGGGTCCATGCTTGGTGGCATTCCTAGGGCTCCTCATCAGGCCTATGTTTGACTTGTGATGGGCTGTTATAACGATGATAATGATGACTGTAAGCATACGCAGATGACAGGGTTAATGTAATCATTTTAATTAGGAACTGTCATTGTTTTGTTATCATTACTTTAATTATCTTTTAAAAATGCATTAATAAATTAAAATAATACGGAAAAAAAAGACTTTAGCTATATAGTATATTTTATATATTTAGGTTTTATACATGATATGAAAGTAATGCAACAAACTATTCCTGAAAGTACATTTATCAAAACAATAATAAGCGCCGTGAGTGTATATCCAGTGGTGATAAGTTCGTGCTTATGCTTTATTTTCTTTTAACTTAAATATTATAAAATTATATGTATTAATAACGTTATCAATTAGTTATAATCTTTAAGTCCACAAATTTAGAGCCTACAATTGAACGAAGGAACCAATGGTACTGGTGTACTTTCAATACAACGATAGAAAATTCTCCAGCGATAGAAATTATTTATACAATTTTGAATTTCGCTATCAAACTTTAAGCGCTCAAAATTTAGTTTTATGTTTTTTGTTACTGCTTATGTGTTATTACAATATCCTAACATCACTCTCAAAAGTTTATTGTTTAAGAATATGAGGCAATAAATTATAATTTAATCTCGAAGTTTTAAATAATTATCTATTTGATACGATACAAACACTTTTATAAATAGGTCACGTTATGCGTTTTATTTGTATAATTCCTCAATATCCTAGATAGGATAGGTAGATCAACAAACAGTTACTGTCAAGAATCTATCAGTATTTGAGATTGAATAAAAACTAATGCTAAGTTTTTGACACGTTTTCTTAACATCATCGCATAGATTAATGATTAGTCATCGCGTGCTCTGACTAGATACCGCCGGCGCTCATGTAAAGTGCGGCAACAAATACTACGCCGAAATCGGCGTACCAGAGCCAGTCAGTCGCGTTGCAGGCAACGTGTGAGGTGAACATACCGAATGTTTTATTAAATTTTGATCATAATCCGAAGTAAAATACCAGTTTACGTATTGAAACTGTGTAAAAATAATACTACAAGAAATAAGAAAGACACTGGAATCACATACTATCATTAAGTATCATACAATTTCGAAATTTTAACATAAAATAACACGAGCCATAAATAAGTCACAAAATATCAATGACGCCATTCAGTGTTGCCGCGAATGCAAAAATAAAGTTCCCCGTGGCTGAGATTTTTATATGTGAATTTATTGTTACTATATTTTATAATATAATATATTAAACTTATTATAATATAACCTAATTCTATATTATTAAATGTATATTTCTGTAGTATTGCTCAAATGATATAATTGCCATTTATTAGGGTTCCGTACCCAAAGAGTATCAACGGGACCCAAGTCTCCACTATCGTTCCGTCTGTCTGTCAGTAGGCTGTATCTTATGAACCGTAATATGTAGAATTTTTACAGAATGTGTATGTATATTGCTGCTATAACAACATAAAGTAAAAAAGAAAACAAGTAAAATATTAAAGGACCCAAAAAAATCACGTTTCTTGTATGAATACCATACAAGAAACGTGATTTTTTTTCTGTATTGATATGTGTTTTGCTTACAGACAAAAGCGAAACCTGGATTAACACGCTATAAAAAGATACTGTGTGTATGGGGGTATTGAAAGTTTATCATGAGCTTTTACCGCCGGATAAAACCATCGATTCAGATCTCTACTGCCAATAAATAATGAGACAAGCAAGAAATAGAAAAAAAAACCGCTGGCATTGATAATCAAAAAAGGAGTGGTCTTTCATCATGATAACGCCAGATCACAAGATTAGTTATTTGTTTGAGACTTTCAATACACACTAACATTCCTAAAAGTCCAGTATTTGCTTGAGTACTTAAAACTGGTTTAAAAGTTTTAGTCATTATTTTCTTTTGTTGCTTGGTTTCTTAAAAATAAAGCTTTCTGGAGGTTATAATATTTAAGTTTATAATTTTTTTCCCATTATAAATGGGATGACTAAATCCATGTTCCTTCAAATCTCTGGTATTGAATATATCAAATAAAACTACTTGTCGCATTTTTTAAATCAAAATCCCAAGATTTCTATAGAAACGTTTATTTTTTATTATGTCACTACACACAAATTATCGAACAGAATGGACCTATATATATATTATAATTAAATGTAATAAAACTTTAAAACAAAAACGTCTTGAATTTGTATACAATATACGGAGAAACTTTTTCCCCAGTCTTATACTCGTATACTAACTAAAGGTGTAACAAAATAGTACTTAATAACTTGCAAAGAGGCGTTCCATCTTAGTGCTCACGGGTGACAACGCATCCGCATCTTGAGTCTTTATTGAGGATAGATGGAGATGTCTATGGGTCACAGTAACCACTTACCATCAGGTGGACTGTGTGCTCGTTTGTCACCCTATCCTATAAAAAAAACTTAGGGAATGATTCTGCCGTCAACATGAATATTTTTTACTATGAGATCATCTTCGAAATTTTCAATTTATACGTGATAGACCCGTACTGCAGCTATATTACTGGTATAGGTGTAGCATGAATGGGTCAGCTCGACCGGGGACGGACCACGCTCTCACAGAATACCAGTGTAAAATAGGAGCTTAACGCTGCTGTGTTTCCTATGGTGAGTGTAGAGAACCGGAGACCCTTTTTACTGGAAACGAGGCATTCCATCTTAGTCCTCAGGGGTTGCAACGCATCTGCATTTTGATTTTTAACCGAGAATAGATGTATATGTCTATGGGCCACAGCAACCACTTACTATCAGGTGGACTGAGTGCTCGTTTGTCACCCTATTCCTATAAAAAATATCTCAAAGTCAGTTATTCCATACAAAATTTCGTACAAACTTGCTCAAAATGTATGGAAGACCTGATTTTTCTTGCGATTAGGAAGATAGATCTATAGTAAAAGTTGTTCATGTTGACGCGTAGAATAGAAAGGCCTATTTTGATTACACCATATATATAACTATTTTTTTAAATAATTTGTGAATATTAGTTAGACATGTAAATAAAAAAATTAAACTGATAAAAAGGAGGCCTCATCATTTATATGTCATTTATTCGGAAGAAAAATCTATACATATCATACACAAATATATTGATACATTCGTTATTAATAAACTATTCATTTTTAAGTATTTCTGGAATACATTCATAACTATGAACTTAACTACTAAGCCATAGCATAAAATAAATTTTCCCGTTAATCGGGTAATAGTTAAGCTGCTGGTATATACAATTTTTCACGCACACTAGCATCATGCAAGTTGTCTTATACACACTACAATATTAAGATGCCGCACTCACGGAGCTGTTACTTGCAGGGAGCGCGGTATCTAGTCACTAGTCAGAGCGCGCGATGACTTATCATTAATCTATGCGCCATCGACTAAAATTGTAGGTATGGTAATTGGTTTCTCTGTATACGTGTGGAAATATAGACAGCTCCCCTAGCGGGCGTAAATTGAACTATATTTTGTTACACAAAGTAATTCGAAGACGACATGAATTCGATGCGATAGAAAGCTCATCTCTGGGGTTACTGTTACTGACGCTGAGTGTGCCATCCTACGGTTGGTACGAGTCCCGACTTACAACTACGACTGACTACCATATTGCATACTAGTATTATGATAAACTAAACTTATTTTAATACCAAATTTAGTTAAATGTTTATTTAAGTGAAAAGAAAACTTTAATTTAAGAATTTTGAGACACCTATTACTTAAATTTTACATTATTTATAAAAGATTTATTATTTACCGATACTTTTTGTGATCACAATTTGGAGATTACATGTTTTCTAAACAAAATAGATTGTGCAGACCGTCGCTCTAAATCACAGGGTATGTGAAAAGTTTACGTTTAATTTTTTTCTACTCTATGGCGTAGTTTCTCAAGTTTTGTGGAACTTAAATATTATATAATTTATACAATTTACAAAAAGCTGGTAACATTTAATTAAAGAGTGCTATACCATATATTGATAAATATTATTTTTGAACATATATGATTATTATATTCTTTTTATAACTAATGAAGTATGAAAATTTAAAAATATTTGAAATATAAAACGAAATTATAAATTCAATTTAAATATTAATATTCCTTCACTTATGTATATTTATTTATTTATTTGCTTATGGAACTATGTTTCGAGAAAAAGTTTGAGAAACAGTTGTTCTAACATAAAGGTGGCGCCAAAGGGACGCCAGATTTGTTCGCAGGTAATCATTGCTGCCTGGCTAATAGTAACACATTGTCATTTAATTCTTTAACTAAATTAAATTAATGCGATTTATCGCTCCACTCAATAAAATTGAATGTTTTGTGGCGAATCGTATTACTTAATTCTTAAATTTTTTTTAGCGTGCCGTATATTACAAATCATTTTAGATGGTTTACCTCGTGACGGTTTTAATCTATCAGTTAAAGTAAATGTTTTGCAAAGCAAGGTAACATTTGCACCTCCAGAAACATTTTCGTCTAGAGCCTTGACTGATTTTGTTAAAAGATATTTATTTGACAAGTTAAATCTTTTTATATTTGTGTTTATTGTTTGTGCGTCCGTTGATGGCAGTTTTCTATCACTACACTGTTTTTTATCTTCATCGTAATCAGACATTGTGGAACTACAGCTGTAATTGCAAACAACATCGACTCTAATTACTTGAACTGTTTCTGGGCTTTCAGACTTCGAAATTGTAATACTTTTTCGTTTTCCGCGCTTATAAAACGCTATTTTAGTTTCATTTTTATCCATGTCATAGTTCTCTATTTGACTTTCTTTATGATTTTTTAATATTTCTTCATCTTTGTTAAAAATAAGGTCAGGCGTTAATTCTTTGTGTTTCGATTCAGTTATTCTTTTGAAATCAACTTGCACTGATTTATTTTCTCTTAGTTTTTTATCTGTATTTTGTATATTTATACTTGACTTAGCTGAAGATGGTCTAGATCGATCATTGTTAGCAAAGTATCTCACATAATCGCCGAAGTAATAACATGTTTGCTCAGATACAACATCGTTGTCAACATCGTTATAATCAATGTCCTCATCAACAGCTTGTTTCACAAACATTCTATGTTTATGAACATCAACTGGATTTCTAAATTTAAAACTCGTTAGCGGTCTTTTACTTTGTTTAATATCACCGTCGAATTGCAAATTCTGTACCGAAAGGAACATTTTGCTTATGTTTGTATTTTGCTCAGTTCGTATATTCTTAGTTCCATTATTATCAAATCTGACGGTTTCAGTGCAACAAAACCTGCCAACATAGTAAAATAAACACATACTTAAAAATAATGCAATATTACTGTAAATAATCTTATTACTTATCATCTTTTTTTTTTATAGAATAAGGGTGACAAACGAGCACACAGTCCACCTGATGGTAAGTGGTTCCTGTGGCCATAGACATCTACATCTATTTTCGAAATTAAAATGCAGATGCGTTGTCAGCCGTGACGACTAAGATAGAATGCATCTTTTCCAGTAAAATGGGTCTCCGGTTCTCTACACTCACCATACAAAACACAGCAGCATCTCCTACTAAGCAGCTATTATGTTGTCCCACTGTTATCATTCGGTTATAACTAAAAGTCATAACAGACTACAACAGAATTATAATACGAAACGAAAATATGTTTCCTCCAAAAACAGCCACTAAACTTTATAAAATGCCAACTTCATCGACTAGGTGTTCGAATATTTATAAAAATGAAAAGAAAAATTTTATTTAGATTTCAGGAAAATTAGTATTAAAGAAGATAAGCATTGCATGTTTATTTGTCAAATTAAATAATGTATTTTTGTAATTGACCCCTATACTTGGCCATGTGAAACCCTTATTATGAATAGAAATACCGGCAAAGTGCGAGTCGGACACGCGCACCGAGGGTTCCGAACGAATCTGTAGGTATATAAGTTTAAAATTATTAAAAATATTTTCATTATATGATGTAACTAAAAATTTATGCTTTTCGCAATTTTTCCTGTATCTGTGCTATAAAACGTTGCTTCGTACCAAATTTCAAGATTCTGAGTTCACGGAAAGTACCCTATAGGTTTTCATTCCCTTACGAATGTCGAAAATTTACAGCATAAACGGCTGTATCTTTTGATTGCGTTGGCTTAGAAGTTTGAATTTTTCACAGCTCTAAGGTACAGTAGACTTGAGTATTTGATACCTCCACGCGTTCCTGAGAAAAAGCGTCTTGACAGACAGACAGACGGACAACAAAGTGATCCTATAAGGGTTCCGTTTTTTCCTTTTGAGGTACGGAACCCTATAAATGGATACTTAAAATAAATCAAACTTTTTAATACGCAATTTTCTACTTGCCCTAGGCCAAGTTGCATATTATGCACTACACAATAAAGATGCTTAGAAATAAAAAAAAAAACACTAGAATACATTTCTGAATTAATTACCCAATAAAATCTATTTAACAAACGGTTACTTGTTAGGATGTATTATAAAATTACATAAAACACCTTTGTAAAGCATCCGTCCACCTAGAATTTTCTTCAAATTGGGGATCCACTAATAGTTTCTGGCAGTATCTTCTTGGCTTATCGCGATCAAGCTCAGATGTTGGTCTTGCCTTTATTCTTTCCTGTAAATGGAGCTTAGTGCATTTCATTCTTTAAAGCGAAATCTGAAAAAGAAAGATCTTTTTAAACATTCACTCACACACACCAAACAACTACATTTGTTCACATCACTGAATCTTAATTATATTACTCTCAAGAATGCAATCTTTCTAAAGGCAAAAGGATGGTTTTTTATACGTGGTAGTATAGTTGTAGCACGAATGGGTGGGCTCGACCGGGGAAGGACCGCGTTCTCACAGAATACAAGCGTAAAATAGTAGCTTAACACTGCTGTACTTCGTATGGTGTGTGGAGAACCGGAGACCCTTTTCAATGGAAAAGAGGCATTACATCTTAGTCCTCATTGGTGAAAACGCGTCTGCATTTTAATTCTTTATTTGGGATAAATGTAGATATCTATGGGTCACAGCAACCACTTACCATCAGGTGAACTGTATTCTCGTTTGTCACCCTATACTATAAAGAAAAAAATATTATTTATCATTGACTTAGGCTTTATTTTAGAATGTTTGTGTTCCGAATAACACGAATTAGGAATTCCTCAGAACTTATTACCTATTAGTTATTCAAGCAGGGTAATCGGCGATATCAGCAGCATGACTTTCGAACTATATGTAATATATTTAATGCGTTCTTGAAAAGTTCTATATTCAAGAGTAAGTTCTTAAAGCACTGATATAAAAATATTACGAGAAATTACGTTATAGCAATAACTTATGACCGATGTAAAAAACCCATACAGGCGACAATGAAGTAGTGAATTTGCCAATCAATCCGTCAAACTTATAAATTAATAAAAGTATTTTTTTTAAATAAGAGAGGTTTATATTCAGATCCAACAGACTGTTGTATTCAGATTCTGAAATATACTATAATATATTAATAAGTTATTTGTGTAAAATAGTCTCTATTTGTATGTAGATAAACTAACGTAAGTACTAAATACGTAATAATATGTATTATTGCAACGCACCTGCAATTTCCCTGGTGTGGCAGTTGTACATAGGCGGCGGTCGACATTTGCTATCAGGTGAGCCGAATACTCGTATGCCCTTTTGATTACTAGTTTAGAAATTATTTAAATCACACGTAAAGTTAAGTCAACAACCGCCACTAGATCAAGTGGAGACGATCTTGTAAGACATTCAAGAATTTGGTGGAGGCTGCATTCCTTCCTTCAGCAGTGAACTTGTAAGCTGTTATGATGATGATAAATAGACTAATTGATAATACGATTAATATATTATGGAATGTGTATTTTACAGTAAATAATATTTTTTATTTATTTCGAATATTTCATTGACATTTTATTGTTAAGCAAAATATAGGTACCTAGTAATAAAGTACTAGTCCGCTGTTTTTTTTAATTATAATATAAAATAATTAATTTATATTACTACGAACTTTTTAATAGATCTAAGAATGAGAAGTGATAATTTAAATTAATATATATTATGTACAAAGTCACCTTAATAACTTATTTATCACAAATATTATTTTATTTATTTGTATTATTATTGTATTTATAGTGAACATAATATAATAAAGCATAAAAAAATATTTTTGTTGTGTTATGTTTACTACAGAGTTATAAATTTAATGGTGTAAAGTAATAAAATTAAATCCATACTAATTATTTGAAATTTCTATAACATAAAATATGACTAACAGTACTAAAATACATTTTAACACTGCATTCAAATGACATCTGAAGAAATTAGCAATTACACGATGCCATTTTAGTAATGTTCTGTTGTTCCTACCAATGCACCATTGTTTGAAATCTTTTTCATCCTGGAAGCAATTAAGTCAAAAGAAGTTTCACTATATCCTTTCCTTTCGTACCACAGTTAATCTTCACAGATAAGAAAGAGACAGGGAGAATATTTTTTTGAAGCTATTGATAGAGGCACTACAATGCCGGCAGGATGGTGTGTTTGATCTAACAACGTAGCGGTCCACATGTTCTTGGGAATCGCTTCACCAACGATGCAAAAAATGTTTCTCTATTATTTTTCGTACGATACAAGTAGTCTTGATAATTGTTATGTTTTAAATAACAATTTGCACAAAATTATGAAACATTTATTTTTATATCATTTATATGCCTAACGTTAACATCTGAAGTATGAAATAAATATAGTTTTAAAAACCAATTTTATTTTTTCTATGAAAAAATATAAGTGGTTTTTCAAATCTATCAAAGTAAAATATGTTTGACTTAAAATTTTATTGCTATGCAACACCTGTGTAATATTCTTACAATAAAACATTTCTTGATAACCTAATAAGATCAACCATGAATTGAAAAAGCTTTATCATTAAACAAACTATATTTATTATCAGATCAGAATGAATGATTATCACTGACAACATAAAAAGTAAATTACCGCCTACGCGATACTTTTAGCTAGGGCAAATGTCAAACTATCACGCTATCTGGTACATTAATTCAATCTGCAGAAATTTCGTGACCGTCAATTCGTTATAATGAAGCAACCATACAAAACCACAACATGACGACTAACAAAATATAATATAATAAAATCTTTAAAAAATACAAATTTAAATAACACATTTTTTTTAATTGTACGTATCAAAACTTCTTGATCATTGTACACAGTTCTCGCACACAACTCCAAAATAATAGGCACAGCTGGTAGACGAATAGAAAGGCACGCACACATAATACCATCTTGGTGCATCCACTGCACACGGACATCTTTGATCACAAAAAAATGCATTATTATTATCCTGGAAGGAGGATATCGATACCATTTCATCGAAATTTGGACTTTATTTAGACGTTTCAAGACAGAATACAGTGAAAAGTAGATTAACAGCTGAATTTTAAATACATTTACAAGTTGTGTAAGGTAATATAGCATTTCAGTATATTAACGTAAGATACAATACCTTCTGGATAAGTTTTAAGGAATTTTAGTTTCGTAATGTTTAAAAAAATAAATGTATCTTGCAAGGCGCCAAATGCGCGTTGCACTACGCCTACGATTTTAAACGAATTTTGTTAGCTTTTAAGAAACACGAGGCTAAACTTTTAAAATTTATAACATAACATATAATTTTTTTGCATATAACATACGCAAAAAAACATTTAAATGGAATCTCTTTAGTAGTCTAAAGTCCGAAACAGTACTTTATTAATTATAATTTAGGTACACAAACGTCCTAAAAGTTACTAAAGATTAATTTTAATCGTGTTATTCGAAATAATGAATTATTGTATAATACCGTATTGAAAAGAATAACTTAAAACAATGGTTTGTCAATACAATAGGTATTTTAGCAAATGACTTACAATAGAAACGAAAAGAATTACAATGGAAGTATTAAGAAATCTTTTGTCTGTTATAAATAATATGCAAATTTTCTTGTAAATGGTTACTTTATAACAACTATTAAGTATTAATGCTTTTCTTAAGTTTATTTAAATATCTTAGGTTAATTTGAACTTATGTTGTGAAAATGCAAAAGATTATTGAGATTCGAAAAAAGAGAACCCTAGCATAAAACTTTGTTTCTTTTTAATAAACAATGAATAACGCACTCGTCGACTAAGCTGACCATTACAGTACAACCTGACACTGGGTCAAACATAACAAAAGAGGGTCACCATACTGATCCTTCAGCCATTGGGAGTGCATTAACATAACAATGAATTGACCCTGGAGTATAAATGACATAACACCAGCCGCTCACCACTCTGACCACATAACCTACCACCAACCTATCATAGTGCAAGGCTATTAATTTTTAATAACAATATATTATGCCTTGTTAATAGTAACTGCTACTTATTTAAATGATAACGTTGTGCACGTTATAATTAACGTTTAGGTATGTTCCCATGTGGGGTACTGAGCTTTCATTGCTTTGATAACATTCCTCCTGGCGTTCCATGAAAGTCGGTTATCGGTTCTTTTTTCAACAACCCTTGTGCACTGACTGTATTCAAGACCCCTTTGCCCTAAAATCTATCACAGATCAGACAAAGCCAGGTGCGCGAATATGTAGCAGTGAGTAAATAAAGGGATGATATATTATGAAGACTGATGTGATTAAAAAAAACCATTTCCCTTAGCGATGTCAAGGTGCGTTCTTGTTAGTGATGGCTCTATATTTCATGTATCCCAAGTATCGATAACTCGAGTTTTATATTTAATATTTTACCATCGTCATTGAGTGAAGAAAAACACTATAAATACTGATTATCTTTATTAAATTGTTGACAATCCTTGAACAATTTTACCACATACAGATCTGTTGAAAAGTAACGAGATGGTGCATATTATGGTGTCATACGTATCGTTAAGTATATAATTTGTAACATTTAAACGTATAAATATCTGGCCTAAAACTTTCCTTGATCGGTTGTCCAACTCCTTGGTAATGGAGTAAGGTCTTAGCACTAGAACCACATGTTAAACATTTTTTGTAGTTCCTGAAAGTAGACGTTACAGGAAAATCACATCAATTTGAAATAATCGTGTTATTGTAGATATATTACAGTCGATGAATATCAAATAAGCTCGTCACTTTAAACTCTCAGGTGAACGTAATCATTGTGGGAATCATTACATCTATCTCTTTCTTACAATATATCCATCTCCTTTAGAATTTGTTCTCTAGTCAGTCAATAGAATTACTTTGAATGCAATAAATGATTCAAAGGCACCATTTTACTGACAATGTATTGTTCGGAAAAATTGTTAAATAATTTTGAAATTATTTTAATTCACTACATTTTAAGTACGAGTATTATTTTAGAACATGCAACTTTACACTATAGAACTTTACACTACAGACTTCGACGTAAGACGTATATATGCAACTTTACACTATAGACTATGACGTAATAATTACACTAAATATTATTGTGAAAATGATTTTTACGATTCTAAGTTTAACGTGGTAGATACACGCTGCAGCCATATTATGGGTATAGTAAGAATGGGTCGGCTCGACCGAGGTAGGACCATGCTCTCCCAGAATACCAGCGTAAAATTGC